AGACCTCCTAATAGCTTCTTGTTACTAGTAGCTTCAAAGACCTCCTAGTCGCTTCTTGTTACTCGTAGCTTCAAAGACCCTCTTAATAACTTCTTGTTACTAGTAGCTTCAAAGACCTCCAACTAGCATCGTGTTACTAGTTTCTAAGACCTCCTAATAGCTTCTTGTTACTAGTAGCTGCAAAGACCTCCTAAGACCTTCTTTTTACTAGTACTAGCAGCTTCAAAGACCTCCTAATAGCTTCTTGCTACTAGTGGCTTTAACGCCCTCCTAGTAGCTTCTTGTTACTAGCAGCGTCAAAGACCTCCTAATAGCTTCTTGTTACTAGTAGCTTCAAAGACCTCCTAGTAGCTTCAAACTACTAGTAGCTTCGAAGACCTCCTAATAGCTTCTTGTTACTAGTAGCTTCAAAGACCTCCTGATAGCCTCTTGTTACTAGTAGGTGCAAAGACCTCCTAATAGCTTCTTCTTACCAGTAGCTTCAAAGACCTCCTAATAGCTTCTTGTTACTAGTAGCTTAAACGACCTCCTAGTAGCTTCTTGTTTCTAGTAGCTGTGAAGACCTCCTAATAGCTTCCTGTTACTAGCAGCTTCAAAGACCTCCTAAGAGCTTCTTCTTATTAGTAGCTTCAAAGACCTCCTAGTCGCTTCTTGTTCTAGTAGTAGTAGTAGCTTCAAAGACCTCCAAGTTTACTTCAAAGACCTCCTAATAGCTTCTTGGTACTAGTAGCTTCAACGACCTCCATAGCTTCTTGTTACTAGTAGCTGCGAAGACCTCCTAATAGCTTCTTGTTACTAGCAGCTTCAAAGACCTGCTAAGAGCTTCTTCTTATTAGTAGCTTCAAAGACCTCCTAGTAGCTTCTCATTACTAATAGCTTCAAAGACCTCCTAATAGCTTCTTGTTACTAGTAGCTTCAAAGACCTCCTAAGAGCTTCTTGTTACTAGTAGCTGCGAAGACCTCCTAATAGCTTCTTGTTACTACAGGTGAAACGATTTTCCAGGAAGCTTCTTGCTCCTAGTAGAGCCGGAGAACCCAAGATGAATCTCGGAGCCAAACATGTCTTGTAGCATTTTGCAAGTTGAGAGCGCCGTCTCTGTGGACACGCCGCCTCAAACTCATGTAATTAGAATATTCCGACGGTGCGAAGCAAGCAAAAAGGCATGAAAAATCATGTAGGTGCCACAACAAATACTGGTGTGAGTGCAGGTCAGAGTACTTTCTTTTTCAACCCTCCTGCCCTTCCGCAGCCAAAGGCCCTACTTCCGCTGCGGCCCAGCAACTCAGGCTTCTCTTCTCGGATGCCTAACAGCTCGGAGCGCAAAAGCTGTGCATAGGCGCTGTTGTTCTCCGCGTCCGCGACCTCCATCTGCAGGTAATCATGGGGAAGTTGCTTGGGGGTCCGACCCAAACTGTCCAGGCGACAGCAAACACCTATGACCAACGGAGTCAAAAAAGTGGCCTTAGAGGAGTTCACACCGACAAACAAAAGGCATCCCGAGAAACTACCATTCCAATGACCCACAACTGAGCACGATATGTGTTTTTTTTTGCAAACCAGCTCACGCTTGGTGCACTCGTTGCTCGGGCACACCTGTGGCTCTGAGCGCTCCAACAAGGCGAAGCGGTTCTCAAGGTCCGGGTCGCAACGGGGGATGAAACGGTCCAACTGCTCCTGACAGACGTGTCAAAGAGCCAAAACAAAGACTAGAGTTGTGAAGGCGTGGGGTAGAATGCTTGCGAGGGCCTTTAGGCCAGGGCTGCCACTTGGGAGGAAGTCCGTTTTCAGAATTGAGTGGTTCAGAAAACACTTTCCGAAAAGGCTCTGACCTCTGGGCATGCGCCAACAGAAGCAAGGCATAACAAGCTGCATCAACTAGGCATGTTGAATGGGTGGAACGGTGGAACAACAATCTTAGTAGCTTTCATTGCAACCCACCTAAAACAACCTTGCGTCCAGAAAGCCGACGTTCCCCTTAATTATTGATCATGTCATCATGTTCGAGGCGTTCCTTCCATCGCAAAAGGATCCTCAGGTGCTGCATTTGTCCAAGCATGTTTAGCCTCCGTTGAGACAAAGCGCTGACCGCTGCACTCATATAGCATAATAATCTATTGCGTTTCATCCGCTCCCCTTACCCACGAAACAAAGCACAGCAAGTGGGGGAAGTTGGGGCCAAACCAAACTGCTGTGATTCTAAAGAATGCTTTTTGCACCCACTAGTTTTGTTCAATTGAATTCTTGATTTTGTAGTTTGCGGGCAACCCAGCCAATCCAGTGTGGCGCCTCGGGCGGCTTTGCTGGTGACTTCTCCTGCCTTGGGTGGCAATTCCCTAAAGGGGTGCAAAACCTCCCCCACATGTCACGAAGAACTTCTTGGGCCTTTAGGCCCTTTAGGCCCTTTGGGCCCTTTAGGCCCTTTACGCTTTAGGAACCAAAAACTCACAAATGAACATAGTTTGTAAAATGATACAGTAAATGATGAGTTGGAGATATGTTTGTTCATTGTCCATACCATCCATCACTACTGAGTATGACGTGGAATCTGAGTTCAGCTATGAGGCCACACATCTTCACCCGGCGCATAGTCATAAGCTGCTTCATCCATGCCACGAGACGCGGCTGCTCCCCCAACCACGAGTGGCACAAGGTGAAAGCCACGAATGGTGTGGTCGACCCACAGGTTGTCCCCCAAGCGAGGGCTGGTGATCTGAGGTCTGGTGTAAGCAATGAATAGTTCAGGCCTTAAAGGGGGTTGGTCTCCAACCTAATAGCGATGGCCTCCAACCAAAGAGCTACAGTAGGCAGTGTTTAGTCCTTGTTGGAAAACCAAAGGGTCCATCACGAGACGATGTTTTATGGTGGCATGCGTGAGAAAAGAATCTTTGGCCAAGTGAAGTCTACCGTGGCTCGATTCATATGATCTTGCTGGACTGCTTTTGGTTGGGGAGCAAGACCTTACCTTCCGTTGGAGAATTGGATTGGCCGAAGACCCGGAAGCAAAAACATCCATTGTCATTGGCAGCCTTCAGTTGCTCTAGCTATCCTCTTGCAAACAAACCGAGGGATCTTCGTTGCCATTCTCCATCTTGGCTGTTCTGAGCTGCAACCACCTTCTCTTAGTCCTCTGCCAAAACGTTGATACACATTCAGTATATGATCTATACATGATCTATACACATCCCCAGTCGACTAGATCTATGGAAAAGTGGGTGAGGATTGTTTTGTAAATGGTGTATACCGAGAACCTCCACTTAGCTCGGAGCTGCAATGGCCACAGGCTGAACAGGGCTTGCGAGGTTGAAACTAAAGTGATTGTCCGGGTTAAGGCATTTGCAGCATGATCCACGATACCAGAGATTTTCTTGCAAGCTTCTCACTCAAGATCCCGATTCTAGTAAAGCCACTAAGTCAATCATCAATATCCTCCACGGACATCTGGACATCTCGGTGGAATCCCCCCAAAAATATCTATACAGAACATAGCAAAGATTCACCGACCTGCATGTTTCATTCATATTTGGTACAATTGTTGCCCGGCCTAGCTCGGTGTCTTTTTGGTCTTCGATGATGTTCATCTGCTCTGATCGAGTCTTATCAACACACATTCACCGACCACCCCTCCTCCCGATCGATTAATGCTTCACCGTCCAAGCCGGATTGAAGATGAAGATGATCGGAAAATCCGAAGGCAAAATGATGCTGTTGGCTTCATTGACGGCTTCACCACCTCAAAACGAACGCTGCAAACTGCTCAGACTCGCGCGGCACAAACTCACTCATCAAGTGAATGAATTGACTTTCACAGGTCGCATCAAAAAATAGTCATACGGTATACGGCATACCTCACAGACTCATGATTGCTTTCGTCTGCTTGTGTGAGTTGCTGGCTATAGACCCTCTCAAACCAACAAGGAATAGCGTGATGTCAAAACTATGCTTATCGGCTAGTCTTGCTTGGGCAACCTCACGGAACAGCAACCAAAACGGTTTCCGACGTCTGTGAAGGACATTTGCACATCTGTGACGGAATCTTGTAAATTGCTGGATCTATCCTAACATTCAGCTGAGTCAATCAAATGCAACAAACAGTGGAGAAAAGCTGGCCGCCCCCATTCCCTGTCCAAACTCAAACACCGCTTCGCAGCTCAGAACTCCAAACATTCAGAAAACAATTGAACAACTGAGGACGCTACTAGGAGCAAAGGGCATCGCTACTAGGAGCAAGGACGCTACTAGGGGCTCCTGGCCTTACTACTAGGAACAAGGACGCTACTAGGAGCAAAGGGCATCGCTCAGAACTCCAAACATTCTTTGCGGATCTTTGGACAGCGCAGTGTTGCTGAAGGCTCGGACGTTCTTGACACCCGATCATCCCGGACCTCAATATGAACGATGCCCGACCGTCGGACAAGCGAACGGGGGCACATGTGGAACTACAGGGATGAAACCAAGAAAAGTAATTGATTTTTTGGCCTATCCAGCGCACTCGAGTTTGGGATCAGCTGCGTTCTTCACGCTCTGCAACTGAGAATCAGGTTTTGTATCTCCCGGGTATCTGACTTTGTATCTACCTGGGTCACCGACCCAGGGTTGCGTGCAATCCAGGCAGCAAAAGTGATACAATAACGGAGCACGCGACTGTTGTCATTTTTTGCACATTCGATGAGGTGTGGAAGTGAGAAGCACCTGCAGGACCACTGGGGAGAGCGTTAACTCTCCAAAGTAGAATTTTGGTGGTTTTGTGTCGTTTGCACAGTTTTTGTTGTCGTTGGTTGCGCAACATGATTATCAACGACGTGTAGATGTGGGTTGGGTGGGAGGTTCATAACGTTCGACTGCTCCTGCATTTAAGATGCAGCTACGCGCACACACGCATTGGAAGTTGGGAGGGTTTTGGGGGGTGGCGGGGTTGGGTGGGGGGGTTAACTAATGACGTTCGATTGTTCGTGCATTTAAGACAAAACCACATCCACTTTCACGCCACGTGAATGATCTGCGAACCAACGATCTTTTGTTGCTAGCTGGATGAAAAACAGTTGTCGCACTACATATATCAAGGGCAGTTCAGGAGACTCACCAAACAGTCCTTGTAATTACTGTGCTATCGGCCACTTGCGCCGCAAACACTGCAAAAGTTACACTGCAAAAGTTCAAACATTTGTCAAGACCCGCTGAAACGAAACAACGCACAAAACAAAGTACATTGCCAATTGGCGGTTGAAACATAGTGAACGCGCCGCGCTCCGAGAGGCGCCCCTACTGTGTTTTTTGACTTTGTTGGTTCGTGGTTTATTTGGCTATTTGACACGTCATATGAATTCCTGAAACTGGAGCGGCTTGACATCCATCCACCTTCTATGATACTTTAGTGTTCTGTCCCTTATGTTTGCCACCCACATGTCCATGCGGTGACCTCAAGCGAGCCCTTCAACCCCCTGACATTGATGGGTCTTGGTGGTTTTTGGCGCCGCAACGTCAGAACCGCTTGGGGTGAGAGTCGACCCTTGTTCATGCGAGATGCGGTGTGAGGGGCCACAAGACTTGGTCTTGGACTTGGCTACGCCCTACAAATCTGAAAATGTCCAAGCGATTGTGATGGTAAGGAAAAGAACAAAAATCCTACAGGTTTCTTAACAAAACTAATTACACCTGGTCATCCGACTTCTGCAACCCAAAAAAACAACGTGGCAGCTCGTAGTTGGACCTTTTTCTCGGATTGCTAGTTCGGCCTTGGACCAAGGCGGATAGCCAACATGTTTCAAACAAAGGATGAGGCTCATTGGCAACGACTCTGGTCCCTGGCGGAGGCCCCTTTCGAAATCGAGACCGACCTTTTCTCGCTCAACTGACGGAAAACGTCCTTTCGTGGCCCAAGGGTCCCATCAAGGCCCACAGGCGAAACGGGGGCGCTGGGACCACGCCTTGAAAATGACACACACCAAGGCAAACCCAGCAGGGTGATGAGCCGGATCTGCCGCATTGACACATGTTTTGTCTCGCAAAATGACGCGCTGGCAATATCGTGGTTGAACCCCCCACAAATCTTAAGGACACACAAACATTGTGACATTGGGAGTCCCCTCATTTTTGACAAAAACAATTGGGTTCTTCATGCCCTCCTCCGCAACCGCTTAGGCCTTCACACAAATGCGGTTGAAAAATTGGGCAAGACCCCAGCCAAACCGAAGTATAGTTTTTGCTATGGTCTATCTATCTTTGCACTCCCGGATAGGAACGACATTTTTCAATCTGTTTAAACAACATCGGTACAGATTAGTGAGGGGGAGTACCCTACTGGTAACTTACAATTTCCTAGGGTGGAAAGTGCAATATTACATTTTTTGTCTTGAGCGTCAACAATGTAATGTTGCATTTGCGCTCACCAGACTAGAATTGAAATTAACCGGAAATATTAGAGAGTACCCCCCTCTACCACGCTCCGGCAAAAATAGCTAAGTTGCATGTTCCACCTTTGTCAGCCCACTTGCTGAAAATGTCATATTACATGCTGAAGGGAAGTTGGGCACTGATGTTTGCAAAGGCTTGATTGCACCCCGTTCTATGCTGATTGATGGCACCTGGCGCGTCTGATTTATCTTTCATTCTGTTCCATTCTATGTCTGCTCTTCTCAAATCAGATTTGTAAACTCATACTATCTCATTCTTGCTCTCCTTCTCACTTGCTTTGAATACATCGAAAGCTGGCACACAGCTGTTCGTTCTTCAAGTTGGAACGTTTAGACTGGAGGCTGCAGCCATTTTGGATGCGGATGCAGCCAGCGCCCACCTTTACAAATGCACAAAGACACACTTGGCCTAGGTGAGCCCCTGTCAAAACATATTGCCAGGATCTGTCACGTAGAAGAATGCCCACTTCCTGAAATTCACGGCCGCCCTTCTTTTCTTCATGTTTTCCGTCCTTCTGAGTTACAATGTGACCGTAAGGGGAATTGTATGGACACTTTATTGACGGTTTTTCGTGTACATCTTGTTTTCAAACGTTGCCTTCCAATATCTGTGTGCATGACGCTGTTTTAGAGGTATCCAAGCACGTAGCTCCACTTTCTGCACATCTTTGTGCGTTTATTCCTTTCTTCTTTAGACCTTTCTTCATTTTCTGATTTTCTTGCCGTTTCTCTTTGTTTCTAGATACCATTAGGGCCATCATCCGATTCCTGACCAAACCGTTCGCGAGAATCATGTACTGCATTTGACTGTTGATATTGATTTTTTCCTCCTGAGCAACCATTTGACCGTAAAGGCCTTGCGTGGACTTTTTATTGACTGTTTCTCCCGCAAGCATTTTAACGTCTGTTGTTTTGATATGTCCCCTTTCAACTTCCAAGTGCGTGCCACTAGTGTAAACAGATAGAAAAATGTAGTGTACAGTTTTGGGGTTTCCGCTTCTTCACGCCTTTCTGTGTTTTTTCCGTTTTCCTTGAACCCTTTCTATTCTTTTCGTTGTCCTTTCTTTCTAGGTGTCATTGGAGACCTTAAGGCTATCACCAGGTTCCTGGCCGAGCCGCTTGTGAGAATCGGTCACTGCATTTTGTTGCTCGTTCGCTTTTTTTCTGAATGTCAGTAAACTAAAGATGACCCTCCAGATGCGCACCCTTTGGGGGCACCCTGGCTAATCTTTTTTTGCATGTTTGAAAATGTTTTAATCATAGTTATAGTTGGTCTTATTTGAGCTTAAAATCGTCGCAATTAAGATTAACTATGCTAGGAAATGACCCAAATAAGATTAAATATGATGAGAAATGATTTTGCTCAAAAATTACCACCGAGTAAAAGTATGAGTGAACCAAAAGTGTTTTCACGAGTAAGTTCACGAGTCGAGCCACGAGTAAGCTTGCAAACTAAGTTGACGGGTCGAGCGACAAGTGAACTTACAAAACGCAATGAATCAAGTACTAAGTACAAACGGTTCCTTTACGACAATCGGCGAGTCGAGGAGCACTGTACTGTCAGGGATTGTAATGAGTAAGGTTTTTGAAACTAGTCAAGTTTTGGCTGAAGAGCGCTGTGCCGGCAGGGATTGCGCCAAGTAAGGTTTTTGAAACTAGTCAA